TATTTAAACTCTTGCTAATACTCATTACATGGGAAGCTTTGTTCCCCACCTGAGCCCAGAGAAACGCAACCTTACAGTTCAGCATGTCCCACCAGAGACACTCGCATGCGAGTCGCTGTTTCGGGCCCACGATCCTTCATCAGAACTGGGGCATGTTGGGAGGGTGTGGGAGAGGCAAGGCAACGAAGACAAAGGAGAAAATGGGGTAGAGGACAGAGGTATTAACAATGCAAAACAAAAAGGGAGAAAAATTACAACAAAACAGGCCGACCAGACACACCTTTTCTCTCCCTAATATTGATTATAACAATTTCAGACCATAACAACTCACCTTCCCTGTCCCCCTCTTCTCTGACCATTACAGTATCTGGGTCCCAGACACAACTTGTGTCTCTCTGGTCTGCCTATTTTGTTGCATTCCCCCCCCCACCCCCTCTTTATTTTGCAATATTAACACCTCTAATTCCCTGCTTTGTTGCAATCCTCCCATTTGTTTTGCATTACTAACACCTCTTTAACCCATCATCCCCCATCCTCTACCCCATTTTCTCCTTTATTTTCCTTGCTCTGCCTCCCCCCCCTCTGTTAGCCCTTAAAAATCTCTCCCTCCCAACATGAACCAGTTCTGATGAAGGGTCATGGACTCGAAACGTTAACTCACTTTCCTTTCTCCATAGATGCTGCTTGTACTAGATATAGTGCTTCAATCTCAAAATATCTCAAAAGTGGCCAATCGCAGCCATGTAGTAACTACTCAGTTTGTATGGAATCTACAAACTTTTTTGAAAAAAGTCTTGAGTGCTGTACATGCTTGTTAGTACAGGCCACTTCCTAATACAGGAGTCAATGTTAAGATCATCCCCTGCACTTCCTGATGCTCAACACCTTCTTATGTTGCCTTAATTAGCAAAAGCGTCTGATTATTCTAATCTCAAGTCTTACTTGGTTTATCCTGTGATAAAATCGATCAACTGTGGAGTCGTGCAGCTCAGTGGTTAGAGTGCTCGCCTTGCAAGCAAGAGGACCTGGGTTCTATTCTCAGGCAGGGCAAAACCTTAGGCCAGTTTCCTTACTCCACACGCCTCTGTTTACCAAACAATAAGTAGGAACCCGGTTGTTAGTCAATTGGCAGATCACTTTTCCGAGGGTAATAATCCCTCCAAAAATAATAAAAATAATTTGGTCACTGAATCAACAACGGTTTATGGGACGCTGCTGTGCACAACTGGCTGCTGCACTTCGCGCACAAAAATGCAGTCAATTCACTTTAGAGTATATTTATTCTATGAAACCCTTTGAGACATCTCAAAGGTGTGATCACTGTATCAAATGCAAGGATTATTGTTATATTATTATAACTCATGTTTTGCCTTCAATCTGCGGGAAGACTGACAGAATCACTGACTTGTCCTTAGTGTTTTTAACAAACAATCTGAAGCAGGCATCAACTTTTATTAAAGAATCAATATTATAAAACCAGCAACAGACATATTTACTGTTTAATCCTTGCAGTGACCTCCCTGGCTGTCCAGGAGATGAATGTTCCCTAAGACTGATCTCCAGAGACACATTCAATGGCAGCAAGGCCTCTACACCAGGCAAACTCCCCAGTGGTCAACAACAGCTCAAACTTTCGCTTGATCCCTACACAGCCACTTCACTTCCGAATTAGTTATCACTGAAATGTACACAACAATTGACATTGACGTGGACTCTGGCAAGATTCAGCCACCTGCCCCTCAAAGCCATAAGGAGCCAGCCCTCCTTACTCTAGAAAATAGAACTAGATCTCAAGATCACTGAACCCCATTTCCAAGGGGCTGCAGAGTTAACTTAATCTTAATAAGACTTAAGATGCAACTTCTTCACTTCAGTCTACAGGTTCCTCGGAAATGGAGTTAGTGATTAGTTTAAAGGGGCCTGGGTTGTGAGCCACAGCTGATAACACACCATCAAAACAACAACAACAGCCCAGGCTGGGACCGAACTCCTGCCCACGTCATATCGTCAGGCCATTTGGTGTGTGGAGTTCAGGTTGTCAGTCTCACTATAACTCTCACGATAACTCTCAGCCACTGAGGGAGGCTCCCATGCCAGTCTGGGCCCATCACTGGCTGTTAGTAAATGGCCTGGATCTCCCGCAGCTCCTGGTGCTCCTTTGATCGTACATTTTCGCACTGTTTCATCCTGTTAGCGTCCTTTGTGTAGGCGCGGTTGGCTGAGAGACACAGGAGGAAGTTGACCTGCAAGAGAGTGTGGGAAACTTGGAGCCACATCAGAACTACAGGCAGTCCCAGCTGTATATGTGTGTGTGAGTGTGTGTGTATGAGAGTGTGTGTGTATATGAGAGTGTGGTGTGAGTGTGTGTGTGTGCCTATATTTTTTTCATGCTGAACAAGAACAACACATGACATTTACACAGTGTCTTTCACATTGAGAGGATGTCTCAAGGTGCTGGAGAGTCAGGGATTTGGACTCAAGTTGTGGTTGGGATCAGGAGAGGGGGAGAGCAGGGAAGTTGGGGTAGGAGGGTGACCAAAAGCATGATTGAAGAGGAGGGATCCCCCCCGACCTCAGGAAGGACACTTCATGCCAGTTTGCCTGTCAGAATGTGGGAAGTCAGCCCACCTCTCCGATCTGATAGGATCATTGACATATACACACACGGCTGTGTTCCCACTAACATACATACACACATGGCTGTGCTCCCACTAACATACAGACACACACAGCTGTGCTCCCAACTATTCATTCAACACAAGGTAGAATATAAAATACATAGAATTTTTTTTAAACACAGAAATTCTATACATAATTTAGTTTATTCCCATTTAACATGTGAAAACCTAAATTTTTGTCACTAATTGCCATGAGACTGCATACTGACACTATACCAGTTATGATGAACCTTTATCTAAAACACTGGTTAGGCCTCAGCTCGAGACTGTGTTCAGTTCTGGGCCCCACATTTTAGGAAGGATGTCAAGGCATTGGAGAGGGTACAAAGGAGATTGACCAGGATGGTACCAGGAATGAGGGACTTCAGTTATCAGGAGGTAGAGGAACTGGGATTATTCTCCTTGGAGCAGAGATTAAGAGGAGATTAAACTTCTTAATAGAAGTTTTGAAAATTATAAGGGGATTCGATAGGGTGAACAAGAAGAAATTATTTCCACTGGCGGGTGGGTCGGTAACCCAGGGACACTGATTTAATATAGTTGTTAAAAGAAAGAGGGGAGGTGAGAAATTTTTTCACACAGTGAGTTGTTGGGATCTGGAATGCATTGTCTGACAGGGTGGTAGGAAGTCGATTCGATAACAACTTTTAAGAGAACTAGATAATTATTTGGGGACGACAAGTTTGCAGAGTATGGGGAGAGCGGGGGAGTGGGGTTGATTTGGGTAACTCATTTCAAAGAGCCGGTACAGATACAATGGGCCAAATGGCCTCCTTCTGTGCAGTATAATTCTATGATTCTATGACAGATACATCCACACACTCTCTGTGTGATATTAACATTTCGCCCACAAATGTAAGTCAATTAACTTTACGGTATATTCTGTGAAGTGCTTTGATAAGTCTAGAAGATATGAAAAGCGCTACATCAAATGGAAGAATTATTAACCTACACACATGCTCTGTGTGACATTAACACATTCTGTGTGTGACACTAACACATAACTCTCTGTGATGTAACACACACACAGTCTCCATGACAGTAACACACACAGTCTCTGTGACAGTAACACACACAGTCTCCATGACAGTAACACACACAGTCTTTGTGACAGTAACACACACAGTCTCTGTGACAGTAACACACACAGTCTCTGTGACAGTAACACACACAGTCTCCATGACAGTAACACACACAGTCTCCATGACAGTAACACACACAGTCTCTGTGACAGTAACACACACAGTCTCCATGACAGTAACACACACAGTCTTTGTGACAGTAACACACACAACTCTCGTGTGTGACACTAAAACAAACACTCATGCGACCACAACAACAAATGGCATTTACATAGCGCCTTTCATATCAAGAGGACATCCCAAGGCGTTGGCCAGTCAGGTATTTGGACCTAAGCTGGGGCTTGTGATCAGGAGGGGTGGAGGCCTGGTGGGTGGGGGTAGGTGCAGTTGAACAGGAGGGTCTTGAGACGCGTCTTGAAGGAGGAAAAGGGAGGGAGCGAGCGAGCGAGACGAAGGGACCAGAGTGACAGCTAAAGATGGAAACAGGCAATCTTTTTTTTGAAAATAAGACACAAGTTTCTAAAACTGAGAGAACTTTTTTTTTCACAAATGAACAGCTTTGTCTCCAATTAAAGGTTCTCTCTGTGACACTCGTGCAAATATCTTCCCTGGTCACACTGACTGCCGAGGGGGTCAGACAGAGACATCTGAGGTATCAGTGTGGAGTGAGGGTGTCAGCACCAATGTGCAGGTACACCTCAACATTACTAACTGTATGTCTCTGTAAATACACGAGTTTCTAAGCAGTTTTCAAAGGGAAACCACTGAACATATCACTGGGCTTGAAAATGCGGACGAGCATTTTGAATGCTATACTCTGAGGGATGGGGAGCCAGTGGAGCCGGGCGAGGGTGGGGGTGATGGGGTCACAGAGCCTGGTGTGGGAGAGGTCACGAGTTGCAGAGTTCTAGATAACTCTTTGAAACGAGTTACCCAAATCAACCCCACTCCCCCGCGCTCTCCCCATACTCCGCAAACTTGTCTGCCCCAAATAATTATCTGCTTCTCTCTTAAAAGTTGTTATCGAATTGGCTTCCCGCAGCCTTTCAGGCAATGCATTCCAGATCCCAACAACTTGCTGTGTGAAAAAATTTCTCCTCACCTCCCGTTTCTTTTAACAACTACATTAAATCAGTGTCCCTGGGTTACCAACCCACCCACCAGTGGAAATAATTTCTTCTTAAAGCTCTGGGGACTGAGTGCACGACCGACATTGTGTAAAACCAAAACCGTTTCAGTGGACATTCCAAAGCTTTGTTTATAGATCACATGCATTGTGAGATTAGTCAGAATGTTAACATTTACATCCATATCCAAAACAGGTTAGACAATATTTAAGCGTTTTAAAATATTACATAGTTAACCGTGTGTGTGTGACTATAGAGTGTAACTCGGCTCCCGACACCAGCAGGTAAATGATGACCAAATGATGGTGACTTGGTGACTTGCTGTGATGCAGTGCAGTTACTGGGCTCAGCGGGTGACCAGGAGCCTCAGGGAATGTTCTGGAATGGTTGTGAGATAGAGAGTTACACACAGAGGGAGAGACACGCAGTGTGACATGCAGTCCATGCTTTGACAGGTTAGAATTTTGTGCAGCAATCTTCTCGACTCAAGAACTTCAGAACGGCATAGTTATAGGTTGTGGCCATCATGTAGGTGAGCTGGCAGCGAGGTGGGGGGAGAAGGAAGGAAAAAACAAAGTTACAAACCTTGTTAAAGTTCAAGAAACCCAAGTGTCATCACTTAATGTCATTTAAACATGCCCCACCCCAACCCCAAGTGCGTCCTCCACCTTATAATGAGGCCCAGATTCTTCACATCACTTTCTGCTTCCACCCACCACTGCTCCAATTACACGGCACAGAATCCTTCCCTCCCCGTCTGCAAAACCGTCCTCCACCCCACCCTCCCGTCAATCCTTCAGATACCCTTCCCCTGTCACTACTCTGCATACCCACACCCTGGTTCAGGTCTACAAAACAAGAACCTGTATCAAAATGGCCTCCACTGCTTGTTCCTCAGGTCACAGCTGGTGTCACATTGATGCTGACTCTCAGCTTCCTGAGATCATCATTGTTTAATCATCTTTCTGTGTTGGGTTTGTAAAGTTAGGCTTGTGAGCAGGAGCTCAGTCTTACTCTTTCTCACTCACTCTCACACTGACGAGGGCAGATTTGCTCCAGAAACTGTTTAAAGAAATGTTTGAAATGATCCATGTGTCCAGTCTAGAATCCTGCAATGTAAGAAGCTGTGACATCCTCCCTGACACCAGCAGTGCTGCCTGACTTCATCCCAGGCCTAACTCACTGTCAAATCAACTGCACCAATATCAGCCTCTCCCCAAAAACTAACAGCACTTTCATCACTGCTTCAATTCTGCTCCTGCAAAACACACAGGTGCAAACACACACACACAGGCACACACACACATGGGCGCATATATAAACATAGGTGCGTACGCGCACACAGGAGTACAACAAGAAGCTCCCACATGTTCGTGCGCGAATGCACATGGGCATGCACGCACACACATACGGGCACACACACAGACATGCACACACAGTCGTGAGCATACACACACACAGGCAAACCCGCGCATACAGGCGCACAGGCACACAGACACACACAGGTGGACACAGGTACACACAGGAACACGCACACACAGGAAAATACACACAGACACACACATTCAGGAACTCACACACGCCCCCCCCCCCCCCCCCCACTTTAGTTGTTACTCACCAGAGCGATTACGGTGGCTGCAGCACCAGCCAGTGTCACAATGAACAGATGATACGTCAGGTTAAACTGCACAAAAACAGAAATAAAGGCAAGATTGAAAAACACCACTATCCTTCCCACTGAGGGACAGCATTACTCACACATGGAACAGAACAACTTGTATCAAAATGTTGACCACTTGATTAAATCCTGTTGAAACCAGGATAGCTCCATAAAATACAATGATTTCCATCAGCATTCACCCCCCCCCCCCCCCCCCCCACCCTGCAGAGAGGAACACTGACCTCTGGTGCAATGTGATTAATTGCTCATTTATCTAAAAATACACTTTGCAGAGCAGCAAACTGAGATGTTATGATAGATGAGGCAAGCTGTTGTAACTCCTGGCTGTTTATGGGATGTTACTGGTTGCAAATTGGCTAAAAGATACAGTCATTACCTGTTACAGTAAATCCTGTGAAGCTCAATGAGATGTCATCCTGATAGGAAAGACACTTTTCAAATGAACGATTATTTCGGAAAAACAGCACAGCGACTAACTGTGTCCCTGTTACAGTGGCTGTTTAACAATCAAACACGTGGCACATTTGCAGACCATACAACAACCCCCAACTCTTAAACTAACACTTAACTTGTACTAGCACTTAACTTATACTAACAACACAAACTAGACGAGGAGATTTTTGCCCACAAATATACAGTCAATTCACTTTACAGTCTATTCTGCGAAGCGCTTTGAGATGTCGAGAAGACGTGAAAAGCGCTATAAAGTACAAGGATTCTTCTTATTATTATTATGAAAGAAGTCTTGGGAATGAAACAATTCTCAGCTCTTTTTTTTCACAGCCGCGTGTCTGAAACCCATCGCCTGCATCCCACCTACACATGGAAATCCCTGGAGACTTTTCTTTTCAACCGTGTGTTTGGTCATCTTCCTCCCCCTCCCCCAGCTCCTCCCCCCAAGGCTTGGGGACCCCAGAGTGCGCGTTGTGGTAACTGCTGCAGTCTAACCAGCTCAACCAGCTCTGTCCTCAGTCCCTCCTCTTCACCCTCTACATGCTCCCCCTTGGTGACATCATCCGCAGACATGGGGTAAATTTCCACATGTATGCGGATGACACACAACTCTCCCTCTCTGCCTCCACCCTCAACTCCAGAACTACTGGCGTTCTGACTGACTGCCTGTCCAAAACCTGTTTGAACTGTTCTTTCTCTCCCAATCCGCGCCATAACCGACACTGCCTACCACCACCTCTGCAACATTGCCAGACTCCGCCACTGCCTCACCCCTCAGGCTGCCCTCGTTACATCAAGGCTCGATTACGGAAACTCCCTCCTCATCGGCCTTCCCAACTCTTCCCTTCACAAGCTGCAGATCATCCAAAACTCTGCAGCTCGTGTACTCTCACACACCAGGCTCCGCGACCCCATCACCCCCACCCTCACCCGACCCCACTGGCTCCCCATCCCCCAGAGGATCGAGTTCAAGATCCTCATCCTCACTTTTAAGGCCATCCATGGCATTGCCCCCTCCAACCTCTCTGACCTGCTGACTCCCTACCAACCTGCCCGCTCCCTCCGTTCAGTGGGCTCCGGCTGCTCCATGTCTCCCGCCCGACCCACCCTACCATTGGTGGCCGGGCTTTCAGCCTCTCTGCCCCCACACTGTGGAACTCCATCCCATGGTCCCTTCGCCTCGCTTCCTCCCCTCGCCTCCTTCAAGGTCGGTCTCAAGATCCTTCTCTTCGATCGTGCCTTTGGTTTCCCTCCCAACTCTCTGCCTTCCCTCACCCCCACACCACCTCTCCCCCATGTTCGGGCCCTGACAACTGACTGTTCAGTGCTTTGGGATGTCCTCCCGACGTAAAAGGCTCTCTATAAATATAATTTTGTTGTTGTTGTAAACCCACATAGCTTGCCATTGACATCACTGTCTGGTTGCTTTCCCACTGCTTGTCCAGCTAGGACCACTCTACCTGTAAATTAGGGATTTGGCTGCAGGATTAAGAGCAGCTGAGTGGGAGGATTCCCTGCCCCAGTGACTGGTCGGCCCTTTGAGGTCCTGCATCTAATACTCTCTGGGATTCGGTACACAGAATACTCTTCCTTTGGGGAGAGAGTGCGCACTCCATTCCAGACACGCGAATTGTCATGTAAGGGTGGTGTAGTATGTGACGTACAGTCTGATCTTAAGCACGATGATGAGTTTCCATATTCAGACTGACTACATCTAAGGGCTGGTTTATAAGGACCTTTCAGTCAGAATTCAGAAAAACATTCATCCATAGTTGGACTACATTCAACCTCACGTCTACAGATAAATTGGAAATGTCAACCAACTACACCAAACTGCTCAAATCCACCACCTGAAAACCACAATAAGCAAAGTGTTTGTTAACCAGAGGGTTGTTACGGTCTGGAATGCATTGCCTGAAGGGATGGAGGAATCAAATTCGATAATAGCCTTCAAAAGGGAATTAAATAAGAACTAAAAAAAGGAAAAATGTGCAGGGCAATGGGGTAGTGGGGGAGTGGGGCTAGTTGGTAGCTCTATCAAAGAGCCGACACAGGCAAAATGGACTGAATTGCCTCCTTCTGCGCTGTAATATTCTATTATTCTATGATCTGTTCCCGCTTGAGGAGCAGCCTGTCAATCAACACATCTTAGCTAAATAATAATAATAATCCTTGAATTTGATCCTTTCCTGATCACGTCTTCGAGACGTCTCACAGCTGTTCAGAGAATATACTGTAAAGGGAATTGACTGTATATTTTGCGGGTGAAACAAGCTGACCAGAAGTCACTTTACCAAGTCGAGAAGAGGCAAGTTATAGTGCTTGTCAAACCATAAACTGTGGGCCTTGCCCCCGCTGATACTGTGGGCAAATATAGCACCTACCTCTGAGGAGTTACACACAGCAGCTAATGTCAGCCCACACACCTTGCCAGGGCTGGCCGTCCAGGGCAGGATGCCTGTAACGTAGGTAAACACACTGCAGCTAACACAGGTACACACACACACACACACACACACATAAACACCCACACACACTGCAGCTAACACAGGTATACACACACACTGCAGCTAACACAGGTATATACACACACACACACACACATAAACACCCACACACACTGCAGCTAACACAGGTACACACACACACACTGCAGCTAACACAGGTACACACACACACACACACATAAACACCCACACATACTGCAGCTAACACAGGTACACACACACACACACTGCAGCTAACACAGGTACACACACACACACACACATAAACACCCACACACACTCCAGCTCACACAGGTACACACACATACACACAAACACCCACACACACTGCAGCTCACACAGGTACACACACATACACACATAAACACCCCCACACACTGCAGCTAACACAGGTACACACACACACACATAAACACCCACAAACACTGCAGCTAACACAGGTGTACACACACACACACATAAACACCCACACACACTGCAGCTAACACAGGTGTACACACACACACACATAAACACCCACACACACTGCAGCTAACACAGGTGTACACACACACACTGCAGCTAACACAGGTACACACACACATACATAAACACCCATATACACTGCAGCTAACACAGTTACACACACACATAAACACCCACACACACTGTAGCTAACACAGGTACACACACACATAAACACCCACACACACTGTAGCTAACACAGGTACACACACACATAAACACCCACACACACTGTAGCTAACACAGGTACACACAAACATAAACACCCACACACACTGTAGCTAACACAGGTACACACACACATAAACACCCACACACACTGTAGCTAACACAGGTACACACACACATAAACACCCACACACACTGTAGCTAACACAGGTATACACACACCCACACACACACTGTAGCTAACACAGGTATACACACACCCACACACACACTGTAGCTAACACAGGTACACACACACACTGTAGCTAACACAGGTATACACACACACACACATAAACACCCACACACACTGCAGCTAACACAGGTACACACACACACACACACTGCAGTGAACACAGATTTCAATCGATCACACATCAGTATATTTCAGGAGACAGGAGATGTTGGGATACACACATAAGTGCACGCACGCACATGAACGCAACCCACATACCCGCGCACACCCATACACGTACACACACACACGCACACACACTCAAGCGCCGAGGAGAGGTGGCTGCGTACCGTACTGCCTGGCATCCACACACACCAGGTCCGTGGCATTATCTGGGTTCTCCCTCATCATGTGGCAAGTGGCCCAGATGTTATAGTAAACATAGACTGGTACAGCGGAGGCCGCACAGACCCCCATCCAGATCACCCCCAGCACGTAGGTCAGCAATATAAACTGTAACAAGCGGACAGGCAAAACAGTAATGTCAGAGACATAAGGATACAGATATAACATAACAACAACTTGTAGCACCCTCACGCAGGCAGTGTCCCGGAGCGCTTGACAGTGACAGACAGGACTCCGTGCCGGGGGGAGGGAGAGGTAACCATAGGCACAGTCGAATAGGACGGTCTTCAGGCATGACTTTGAGATAGGGAAGGAGGGGAAAGACAGGGATAGAGGAAGAGTGTTCCAGAATTTCAGGGCGTAGTGGCTGAAAGCGCGGCCACCCATCAATGGGCACGAGGGACCCGCAGGAGGCCGGAGCCAGTTGAGCGAAGGCAGGTAGTGGGTTGGAGAGTAAGCAGATATACAATATATACATTAGATTAGAGAAGTACATACACACCATAGAGAGACACACACACACACACACACAACACAAACCCAATACACAGACAGATATACACACACACACACACGAGAACAGCAACTTGTATTTCTACAGCACATTCACATGGGGCAGCATCTCAGAGTACTTATCCCAGGGTGAGCGAGTGGGGTTCGGAGACACACACTCACACAGGAGCAGAGCTCACCAAGGCGCTGACACACTTGCCGCACGCGGTGCTCCTGAACTCTCCGTACATCTCCTTAACGGCACTGGTGGTGTAGAAGCCCTCTGCCAGCAGCAGCACCCCGTACAGGAAGAAGAAGGAAGCGGTTCCATAAATAACATACTGGAAAATCTGGATCCTGGGAACAACCACAGCAACATTAAACCAGCTATAGAGAGGTCACTGTTAATACCAGACTATATAGAGGTGTCACGTTACTATCAGACTGTATAGATGTCAACAACAACAACTTGCGCTCTCCACGCAGGGTACCATTTCAGAGCAGAGCCTGACTCTGAGTCGGGGGGCTGGTGGGAGGTGACCTCAAGCACGGGAGAAAAAGGAAGGTTTTCAGCCGAAACTTGGAAAAAAAGGGAGGGGGCAAGGCGGAGGGATTGAGGAGACTGTTCCAGTGTTTCGGGGTGTAGTGGCTGAATGCGCCACCTCCAATGGTGGGGCGGAGAGTGCGAGGGACAAGCAGGAGGCCGGTGTCAGTCGAGCAGAGGCACTGGGTGCCACATTGGGGAGTGAGGAAATTGGAGAGGTCGGAAGGTGCCAGAGAGTTAATGGATTTGAACATGAGAGTCAGGATCTTGAAGTCAATCCGTTTGGTGATGGGGAGCCAGTGGAGCCTGGGCCAGAACTGGTGAGATGTGGGTTCGGAGTTTGGTCCGAGTCGGCAGAGTTCTGAATGAGGTGATCTTGTGAATGGTGGAGACGGGGAGACCGGAGAGGAGTGCGTTTGAGAAACGAGTTGGGAGTTGACAAACACATGCACAAGGGTTTCAGTTAAGGTACGGTCGGAGGCGGTCAATGACGGGAGCCAAGGAGTACGGCTTCCATTTTGTCCACATTCAGCTGCAGAAAGTTTTCCCTCATCCAGGCCCTGGTGTCTGCCAGACAAGCTGATAGAACATCAGGGGGACCTGGAGTTGGTACTGGAGGAGACAAAGTAGATTTGTATGTCAGTCGCATATATGTGGGAGTTTACCCAGTGTCTGCGGATGACATCACCCAGAGAGAGCATATAGATAAGGAAAAGAAGAGGTCAAGGATGGAGCCCTGGGGTACCTCGCAGATGATAGGGCGGGGACAAGGAAGAAACCATTTGCTGAGATGAAGTGGAGTTGGTTAAGTACGACTCAAATCATGCAAGTGAGGTCCCACTAAAGTGGGTGACGGAGGAGAGGTGTTGGAGGAGGATGGCCTGGTCGGCTGTGTTGAACATGGCAGAGAGATCGAGGAGGCAGAGGTAGCCTTGGGCACAGAGAGTGCGGACGTTATTTTTTGACTTTGATGAGCACTGTCTCTGTGCTCTGGGCAAGGCGAAAACTGTTAATATCAGACTATACAACAACAACTTGGATGTATATAGCGCCCTCCTCGCCGGATGGTGTCTCAGAGCGCTTCACAGTAATGGATCCCGGGGCCAAGCCAGGGGGAGGAGCCAGGGGGAGGGGGAGGAGCTGGGGGGAGGGGGAGGAGCCAGGGGAGGGTGGGGGGAAGGTGACTAAAGGTGCGGTCGAAGAGAAAGGTCTTCAGCTGAGACCTGAAAATAGGAAGAGAGGGGGTGAGGGGAAGGGAGTGAGGAAGGCAGTTCCAGAGCCTCGGGGCACAGTGGCTGAAGGCACGGCCGCCGAGGGTGGAGCGGAGGACTCGGGGGACGAGGAGGAGGCCAGAGCCGGAGGAACGAAGGCAACACGAACTGTTTTGAGGAGAGAGGAGGTCAGAGAGGTCGGGGGGTGCAGAGGAGAGCAGGGACTTGAATGCAAGGGTGAGGATCTTGAAGTGGATCCTCTCTGGGACAGGAGCGAGTGCAGTCTGGCCAGGACTGGGGGGATCGGGGAGCAGAGTTTGGTGTGGGTGAGAATGCGGGCGGATCTGGATTTTATGGATGGTAGTGGATGGGAGACCGGCGAGGAGGGCGTTTGAATAGCCCAGACGAGAAGTGACAAAGGCATGGACTAGGGTTTCAGCGGCTTTCGGAGAGAGGTATTGGCGGAGATATAGAGGTGTCAGTGTTAATATCAGGCTATATAGAGGTGTCACCGTTAATATCAGACCATATAGAGGTTCTCACTGTTAATATCAGACTATATAGAGTAGGGGTGGGCAATTATTTTAGCTGGTGAGCCACTTCACCAGTTTTGGTAAGCTTCACGGGCCACAAACTTAATATAGATGCAAATGCTTAATAATAACTCAAAATCAAATCTTACACACACATGCATAAAATAAAGTCTATATAATTGACATTCATTAAAATTAAGTTAAATAAAAACAACTCATTTATTTATTTGATATTTATTCACATATTGATGAGAATGTGAGAAGCTCACTCAATGGGAAGAATGAAAGCACTGATGTGCATTAACCAGACAATTCAAGTCAGGCATCGTCTCCTTTGTTGCAATGCGGAGAACTGCTGCAAGGTGGTCATCAGTCATCACAGATCTAGGTTTTGATTTATTGAATTTCATCACAGAAAATGTCTCCTCGCATATGTACGTTGATCCAAACAGCACAAGCATCCTCCGGGCATGAGCCTTTATTTTTGGAAAGGTATATTCATTAAGAGAAGAATAAAAACTGGGAAGCGGCACTGATTTGAATTGCTCCTCAAGCAATGGATCACATTGCAGGGCAAGTCAATAAGCTTGAGTTGGAGGTCAAATGGGGCTTTGTCAACATCAAATGAAAAGGTGAAGAGACCAAAGGCAAGTCATTTTCGATCAAATTGAAATCCTGGAATTGGCGAGCAAATTCAGCCTGTAAGTCAAATAGTGACGAAGTATACTTTTTAAAGGTTTGATCGCAAACAGTAATCTGCGATAAAATAAATAATTTCAAATCATGCACAAAGGCATGCATTGCAGTTTTGAATTCAGTTCATTCATGGCCCATGATATCAGCGGGAAATGCGAAATCAGAGAGCCAATTCGCATTATTCAGCTGTAGAAAATCCGAATCCTTTTGTTTCATGCCTCAAAATAAATCAATCTCTTTTTTCAGTTCCCACACTCTTTTCAAGAGCTTTCCTAAACTAAGCCATCTTACACTCATGTGATTCAGAACATCCATGTGCTCAGATTCCAATTCCTCAAGCAGAGTTACACACTGCCTGTGGTTTAATCCTCTTGTTTGAACATAGTTGACCACTTTCGTAACTGTGTCCATGACATGGCTTAGTTTTAGAACACTCTTACAGAGGACCTCTTGGTGGATAATGCAGTGTAGAAAAACAATATTCTGTTCTGGATTTGTTTCTTTGACTTGATCTTGAATTCTTTTCAGTAACCCAACATTTTTGCCTGTCGATTTGAGCTTCCATCAGTGGTCACATTCACCAATTTTTTCCACTCCACTCCTAATTTTAAGATACACTTATTTACTGCCTCCAAATAGTCTTCTCTAGTTGTCGTATCTTTCATTACCTGCATTGATGTTGATTCTTCTGTGAGCTCAAAATAATAATAATCTTTGTATTTGATACAGCGCTTTTCACGTCTTCTAAATGTCTCAAAGCGCTGCACAGAATAGACTGTAAAGTGAATTAACTCTATAGTTGTGGGTGAATGTGGCAGCCAATTGCGCACAGCAGTGTCCCACAAACAATCGTGGATTGAAATGACCAATTTATCATTTTTTTTCTTGAGTGATATGTGGAGTAAGGAAACTTGCTCAAAGTTTCACCCTCCTGTAAATCGAAACCAGATCTTTTGCTTGCAAAGCAAGTGCTCTAAACAATGAGCTACAGGACTCCACATGTTTGTTGATACATTGAATAAAAATTATCAACTGGGCTATGTCTTTGACATACAACTCTCATCGAGTGCCAGTGAAAAACATGCAAAATTGCTCACTTTATTTGGTAACTGCAGATAAATGTTCTCAGAGATAGCCTCAACACATCTCACAATAGTTGGCCTTGACAAGCTAATGTTCTCAAACTGTTTTTTCTTGTCTGGGCATAAAATTGAATCAGAGTCAACCATATATTCCTTTATAAATTCTCCTTCAGAGAACGGTTTGCTGTTCTTGGTGATTTTTGTGTGCAATTACGTAACTCTCTCTTGTAATCTCATCCAGGAACGCAAATTGTTTTGTGAAAATGCTTTGCTCTTGTTGCATTCGGACAACCATCTCATCAGCTTTCTTTCCTTTGTCTTCGGCAGAAATGTTCTTATATTTAAGCATGTTTGCTCTCAAAATGGCAATTCAAATTGTAGTCTTTGAGCACTGTCACACTTTCTTTGTAAATTAAGCACAGCTTTTCCACCCACACTGGTAAAAAAATATTTAGAAGTCCATTCTTTGTTGAATATTTGGTCTTCAGCGTCTACTCTCTGCTTCTTTGATAAACTTATTTCTAATTAACATCCTCTTCAGTGAAAGGTGTTGCCGCGGTTGCCGCGCGTTTCAAAATTTGCTGATCCGTATATTTCTGACGTCAGCCTCATTCAACACTTAAGGGGAGCTGCGCACAACTGAGCTGTGTGATTGGCTGATGTTCCCGGTCTGATTCAAATGTGAAATTTGTGCGACTTTCTGGGACTGAATGAACTATAATTTTTTCTATTGCTAGACACAATGACGGGCTAGATAGAATCATTTGGCAGTCGGATATGGCTCGTGGGCCATCTTTTTCCCACCCCTGATATAATATCAGACTATATAGAGGTGTCACTGATAATATCAGGTTGTATAGAGGTATCACCATTAATATCAGACTATATAGAGGTATGACCATTAATATCAGACTATATAGCACCATTAATATCAGATTATATAGAAGTATCACCATTAATATCAGACTATATAGAAGTATCACCATTAATATCAGACTATATAGAGGTATCACCATTAATATCAGACTATATAGAGGTATCACCATAAATATCAGACTATATAGAGGTGTCACTGTTAATATCAGACTATATAGAGGTGTTAGTGTTAATATCAGACGATATAGAGGTGTCACTGTTAATATCAGACGATATAGAGGTGTCAGTGTTAATATCAGACTATATAGAGGTGTCAGTGTTAATATCAGACGATATAGAGGTGTCACTGTTAATATCAGACGATATAGAGGTGTCACTGTTAATATCAGACTATATAGAGGTGTCACTGTTAATATCAGACTATATAGAGGTGTCAGTTTTAATATCAGACTATATAGAGGTGTCAGTGTTAATATCAGACGATATAGAGGTGTCACTGTTAATATCAGACGATATAGAGGTGTCACTGTTAATATCAGACTATATAGAGGTGTCAGTTTTAATATCAGACTATATAGAGGTGTCAGTTTTAATATCAGACTATACAGAGGTGTCAGTGTTAATATCAGACTATATAGAGGTGTCAGTGTTAATATCAGACTATATAGAGGTGTCACTGTTAATATCAGACTATATAGAGGTGTCAGTTTTAATATCAGACTATATAGAGGTGTCAGTGTGAGCTGATGGTGAGCTGAGCGCCAGGCTGAACACTGAGCTGGAGACCTACACGTTGGCCAACAGAGCGTAGTCGGTGAAATCCCTGGAGAAGTAGGTCTCGATGAGTGTCTCAGTGCCGGTCAACGCCTCATGTCCACAGCCACAGAACAGCGCCACCCCAGAGAAACAGAGCAGCGTGGCGATCAGTGAGGCGAAGGGCACCCCACCCCAGCACTTAACACAGCACTGAAAGCAGCCTGTGGGACAAAGCACACAGCAGGCAATCAGCACTGAGGTAACACAGCAACTCTCCTCCAATATTCACCCATGACTTTGACAATGATCAAGCTCATCCTCGCCCGGCTACACTGGCTCCTCAATCCCTCACCTTCAAAGCCATCCACGGTCTCACCCCCACCCGACCGTTACCCAATTAATTCGAGAGAATATTGTGGCCCACACCACTTTGAACATATATTATAATGAGAATTATCCTTGTATTTGATGTAGCTCACCTGAATCCCTGAACCTCACATCACTGGGTGTACCTCAGGTGGCGCCAGAGGTTTGCTGTTTGCTGTGGAGAAGTTGCCCTTTACCAAAAATTCAAGTTATTTAAATATATGGATGAATTGTTTCAAACCTGGTTTGAACGCACAGAGTACAGCGGGTTTGGAAATGGTACCTCAGAAACATTTTCACTTGGTGCGCAAATATTAATAGTAATAAAAATCCTTGCATTCAATGCAACGTATTATTATCATCTACGACAGCTAAAAACGCTTCACAGGATTTCTAACACATCACCGTGCTTAAGAGTATTCAAACCAGACAGAGTTCCACACATGTAAATTCCTATCTGTTATCCATTTCAGAGGACTTCATGCTGTGAAGTGTAGTGACTGCATATTTGTAGGTGAATATGGCGGCAATATGGCTGTGCTGTTGTACACAGCAATATTCCACAAACAGCCATGACGTGAATGACCAATTATACTTTCTTTTGGTCAATGCTACTCTACATGAGAGTATCTGAGTATAATGTCCCAACTTGGGGGCTTGGGGACATTCTGACTCAGAGGTGAGACTACTTGTCTGGTAAGCTTTCCCGCTGTTTGTCCAGCTATCTAACCTTAACCCTACCCGTTAGGTAGGATTCCCTGCCCCCAGTGACTGGTCTACCCTTCCAAGTCCTGCCAATGAGCCGGGCAAACTGCGTGTCATAAGCAGAGCTCTAGAATACTGGGAACCCATCTATAGCTCAGGAACCAGACAGCGAGGATTGGCTCGATTCCAACATTCCATTAAGAAGCAAATTAGTTCTTGGCAAGTCCCGGGTTAGGGCCGCACATGTTTTTCTGAAAACCTTGGAACCAGTCCAGTTCCATTCATCTCCCCCCAAGGAGCCTGGACACTGAGCTCATAGTCCTGATGTGGGCTTGAACCCACAAACTTTGACTGAGAGGTGAGATTGTGAATGGCTGAGACCTGAATAGTAAATCCAGGCAGCAGCGCAAGCACAGATGAGTTGCAATGTTGTCAGGATCAGAGAGCGCGGCTGCCCGCTGGCTGTGCTGTTATTTGTTTTGCTCAGCCGGGTGTCTAACATCATCTGCTTAAGAGCCTCCAAACCAAGCTGAGAATTCCATGTATCCCACCTACACATGGAAATCCCAGAGATAGATTGTTGGGGTGGAATGTGCCCACTCTCTCTCTCTGGAGGGACACATCGTGCTTACCTAATTCCGGAAAATATTAGACGCAGGTTGGCAAGAGCCAGGGCTTGGGGTAACTGCTGGAGTCTAGCCAGCTAAAACCCCATAGCTTGCTATTGAGAGCATTGTCCAATAAGCTTTCCCACTGCTTCTCCAGCTGGGACCACTTTGGTTAAGGCTTTGGCTGCAGGGTTAACAGGAGCTGAGTGGGATGACTCCCTGCCACCAGCGACTGGTCTGCCCTTTCAAGTCCTACCGATGAGCCAGGAATACTGTGGCTGGAACCAGGCTACCAAGACCGCTACAGAGGGCTGGCTTGATTCCAATATTCCATTACCAGGCATGTCACCTTGGAGCCAGTTCATTTACAAGGAGACCCCGCTTACTGTTGGGCTGGATGTCGTCTGGGCTGCGCTGTTCGGCTGAGTCATCTGGGGTTGCGCTCTGGGGCTGCACTGTTAGTCTGTGTGTCTGGGCTGTGTGTCTGGGCTGTGCTGTTAGACTGTGTGTCTGGGCTGTGCTGTTAGACTGTGTGTCTGGGCTATGTGTCTGGGCTGTGCTGTTAGACTGTGTGTCTGGGCTATGTGTCTGGGCTGTGCTGTTAGACTGTGTGTCTGGGCTATGTGTCTGGGCTGTGCTGTTAGACTGTGTGTCTGGGCTATGTGTCTGGGCTGTGCTGTTAGACTGTGTGTCTGGGCTATGTGTCTGGGCTGTGCTGTTAGACTGTGTCTGGGCTATGTGTCTGAGCTGTGCTGTTAGACTGTGTGTCTGGGCTATGTGTCTGGGCTGTGCTGTTAGACTGTGTGTCTGGGCTGTGCTGTTAGACTGTGTGTCTGGGCTATGTGTCTGGGCTGTGCTGTTAGACTGTGTGTCTGGGCTATGTGTCTGGGCTGTGCTGTTAGACTGTGTGTCTGGGCTATGTGTCTGGGCTGTGCTGTTAGACTGTGTGTCTGGGCTATGTGTCTGGGCTGTGCTGTTAGACTGTGTGTCTGGGCTATGTGTCTGGGCTGTGCTGTTAGACTGTGTGTCTGGGCTATGTGTCTGGGCTGTGCTGTTAGACTGTGTGTCTGGGCTATGTGTCTGGGCTGTGCTGTTAGACTGTGTGTCTGGGCTGTGCTGTTAGACTGTGTGTCTGGGCTGTGCTGTTAGACTGTGTGTCTGGGCTATGTGTCTGGGCTGTGCTGTTAGACTGTGTGTCTGGGCTATGTGTCTGGGCTGTGCTGTTAGACTGTGTGTCTGGGCTATGTGTCTGGGCTGTGCTGTTAGACTGTGTGTCTGGGCTATGTGTCTGGGCTGTGCTGTTAGACTGTGTGTCTGGGCTATGTGTCTGGGCTGTGCTGTTAGACTGTGTGTCTGGGCTATGTGTCTGGGCTGTGCTGTTAGACTGTGTGTCTGGGCTATGTGTCTGGGCTGTGCTGTTAGACTGTGTGTCTGGGCTATGTGTCTGGCTGTGCTGTTAGACTGTGTGTCTGGGCTATGTGTCTGGGCTGTGCTGTTAGACTGTGTGTCTGGGCTATGTGTCTGGGCTGTGCTGTTAGACTGTGTGTCTGGGCTATGTGTCTGGGCTGTGCTGTTAGACTGTGTGTCTGGGCTATGTGTCTGGGCTGTGCTGTTAGACTGTGTGTCTGGGCTATGTGTCTGGGCTGTGCTGTTAGACTGTGTGTCTGGGCTATGTGTCTGGGCTGTGCTGTTAGACTGTGTGTCTGGGCTATGTGTCTGGGCTGTGCTGTTAGACTGTGTGTCTGGGCTATGTGTCTGAGCTGTGCTGTTAGACTGTGTGTCTGGGCTATGTGTCTGGGCTGTGCTGTTAGACTGTGTGTCTGGGCTTGTGTCTGTTAGACTGTGTGTCTGGGCTGTGCTGTTAGTCTGTGTGTCTGGGCTATGTGTCTGGGCTGTGCTGTTAGACTGTGTGTCTGGGCTATGTGTCTGGGCTGTGCTGTTAGACTGTGTGTCTGGGCTATGTGTCTGGGCTGTGCTGTTAGACTGTGTGTCTGGGCTGTGCTGTTAGACTGTGTGTCTGGGCTATGTGTCTGGCTGTGCTGTTAGACTGTGTGTCTGGGCTATGTGTCTGGGCTGTGCTGTTAGACTGTGTGTCTGGGCTATGTGTCTGGGCTGTGCTGTTAGACTGTGTGTCTGGGCTATGTGTCTGGGCTGTGCTGTTAGACTGTGTCTGGGCTATGTGTCTGAGCTGTGCTGTTAGACTGTGTGTCTGGGCTATGTGTCTGGGCTGTGCTGTTAGACTGTGTGTCTGGGCTGTGCTGTTAGACTGTGTGTCTGGGCTGTGCTGTTAGACTGTGTGTCTGGGCTATGTGTCTGGGCTGTGCTGTTAGACTGTGTGTCTGGGCTATGTGTCTGGGCTGTGCTGTTAGACTGTGTGTCTGGGCTATGTGTCTGGGCTGTGCTGTTAGACTGTGTGTCTGGGCTATGTGTCTGGGCTGTGCTGTTAGACTGTGTGTCTGGGCTATGTGTCTGGGCTGTGCTGTTAGACTGTGTGTCTGGGCTATGTGTCTGGGCTGTGCTGTTAGACTGTGTCTGGGCTATGTGTCTGGGCTGTGCTGTTAGACTGTGTGTCTGGGCTGTGCTGTTAGACTGTGTGTCTGGGCTATGTGTCTGGCTGTGCTGTTAGACTGTGTGTCTGGGCTATGTGTCTGAGCTGTGCTGTTAGACTGTGTGTCTGGGCTATGTGTCTGGGCTGTGCTGTTAGACTGTGTGTCTGGGCTGTGCTGTTAGACTGTGTGTCTGGGGGCTGTGCTGTTAGACTGTGTGTCTGGGCTATGTGTCTGGGCTGTGCTGTTAGACTGTGTGTCTGGGCTATGTGTCTGGGCTGTGCTGTTAGACTGTGTGTCTGGGCTATGTGTCTGGGCTGTGCTGTTAGACTGTGTGTCTGGGCTATGTGTCTGGGCTGTGCTGTTAGACTGTGTGTCTGGGCTGTGCTGTTAGACTGTGTGTCTGGGCTATGTGTCTGGGCTGTGCTGTTAGACTGTGTGTCTGGGCTATGTGTCTGGGCTGTGCTGTTAGACTGTGTCTGGGCTATGTGTCTGAGCTGTGCTGTTAGACTGTGTGTCTGGGCTATGTGTCTGGGCTGTGCTGTTAGACTGTGTGTCTGGGCTATGTGTCTGGGCTGTGCTGTTAGACTGTGTGTCTGGGCTATGTGTCTGGGCTGTGCTGTTAGACTGTGTGTCTGGGCTGTGCTGTTAGACTGTGTCTGGGCTATGTGTCTGGGCTGTGCTGTTAGACTGTGTGTCTGGGCTATGTGTCTGGGCTGTGCTGTTAAGACTGTGTGTCTGGGCTGTGCTGTTAGACTGTGTGTCTGGGCTATGTGTCTGGGCTGTGCTGTTAGACTGTGTGTCTGGGCTATGTGTCTGGGCTGTGCTGTTAGACTGTGTGTCTGGGCTATGTGTCTGGGCTGTGCTGTTAGACTGTGTGTCTGGGCTATGTGTCTGGGCTGTGCTGTTAGACTGTGTGTCTGGGCTGTGCTGTTAGACTGTGTGTCTGGGCTACGTGTCTGGGCTGTGCTGTTAGACTGTGTGTCTGGGCTATGT